GGAATTTTGTAAGCATTATGTATACTATTTATCAAAATGTTATAATCCATCTTCTTGGAAACAGGTACTCAGATATTACTATGGCTTGTAGAATAGTCAAAGTTGCTTAATTTCTTCTACAAACTACAGAGGAAAAAAGAATTATTTGTATTCTTCATGTCTTCTTAAGCCAATAAAGGGAAATTTGATTAAAAAAAATGTCAGGAAACTATTTTGACTAACTTAGGTGTTTGTTTTAATTGAATTGGCAGAATTGGTAGATTTGACCAAGTTTAGAAGCCCTACAAAAACTTACATTTAATGGAATGAATTTTACTAGAACTTTTCTGCATTTATAGGTAACAGCATATAAAGTTTTTTGCATATCCTTTACATCATTTTATCATCTTCCATTGCAGTGGTACTTTTTGGGTGGGCTACAGTCAGTTTTCCAATGAATTTCCTTCTTTTGTAGGAATGATGTAGCTGTTGTCACTAACCCATAGCCCAGGGAAATGTTTCCGCTTTCAGGAGTTGTCCTGGGGCTTTCACTTAGTGGGTTTTCTAGAAGTTTAAGACTACATGAATTTGTTAAATTTTCACTAATAGACACAGGGATCAAAAATCACTTCATTTTTCTGAAAACAACATCTGGAGGGTGGCATCAGCATTTAGGGCTCGTCCTCCTCTCCCCTTCCTTCTATCCTCCTCTGCCCACCCCCCACCTCTTCCTCTCTTATTTGATCTTCAGCCACAGAAACATTCATTGTGAGGACCCTTTCATCATTCTGGTCCCACGCTCCTTAATGTTTTTCCTACTCTAGTTAACTGTCCTCTCACCAGCAAATCCTGGCACTTACAATTCATGGTGCATGTATTCTAATACCATGTTTCTGTTTTAGAAATGATGGTAATTTATGATTTGGAATTTTAGCTTCTTATGACAGTCACTCTTTTCCTCCCCCAAATTATTCTCTTATTCTTGCCAAGTAAGACATGTTTTTCCTTTAATTATGGTCACTGACTATTAGATTTTTTTAGGTTCAGCAATTATGTCGCTGCTCATTAGGGCTTGAGGAGAGTAAAATCTTCCAGTAGAAAATATCTTGCAGGTTGGCTGGTTAGCTCAGTTGGTTAGAGCATAGTGTTGTAACACTGAGATCTATGGTTCAGATTCTGGATCCCCATACTAGCCAGCACCCCACACCCCAGAAAAAAAAAAAAAGAAAGAAGAAAAAGTGTCTTTGGACTGGATTTATACTCTAAAAGCTAGAAAATTAAAGTATATAAAAATATGAGTCAGACAAAGTTTGATGTGAAAAATATCTTTAAATATTTAAATATAGGACTAATGAAATAAATACAGAGAGAACCATCTGTCTTAGTGATGATGTTTACTCCTTAAGAGGCAGCGTAACTATGAACTTCTTGATTGAGCCTCCTATGGGCAAAGCTAAGTATTTATGATCTCAGGAAAAGCCACTAATGCCTTTGCTATGGGCTATTCTTATCTCACTATCTTCTAATGCCAGACATAGGGTTAATCAGTGTGTTTTCTAAAAGAAATCTCTAAATCTGGCTTTGAAAATGTCTTTGTCTATTTCACAAATATAGCTTCCCTCACAAAAAGCATATTGAAGGTTTTCTGATTTTTTTCTAACTATACAAGAGCGCTTCAAAAAGTTCATGGAAAAATACAATTAAAAGATAATACAAATCTTTCCATGAACTTTTTGAAGTACACTTGTATATTGGCTGATTCTAGTCATTATCAACCTTCCTTAATGACTTACTTCAGTAAAACAATTTTTTTCAGAGGAGAAGAGCTTTTTGAAGTAAAATAACTGATATAAATAAATGAATGCACGCACATATTTATATTTCACCATTTAAAGAGTCCTTTTTGGCCAGGAAATGCCTTAGGTTCAGCCTTTTAACCATAATATCTCAATTAGTACCACATAAAGAAGACAGTTTCTCATCACTGTTCTTGGTGTATCTATAGTTCTTTAGTTTGGAATGTTCTCAATGCAGTTCTTAATTAGCTTTGTTAGATTTACAGAACACCCATGTTGGCCTTTCCTTGTGGCTGTACACACATTTATTAAATAACTGTATGTAACACAAATGCTAAATGAGGACAACATGCCTCTCTTATTCTCCCTCATGGTTGGGAGAATTATTTTCTTTATGCAATTACCTATCTCTGTAATAAATATATAATGAATCTGGAAATAGCTTCTCATTTTGCATCATTAAAAATCTCATGCAGAATGTGCTTATTTTATCAGCTTCAGGATGCAATTCAAATAAAATATTTGGCTGATAAAATCTGGGCCCTTGTTTGGTAAATATTTCACTTGGATGGATATTTTTTGTTATTTAGAGAGACTGTCTTTATGGTCATAAAGCATGCATTACCACTGATTTTCAAATGCATAGATCAAATGCTAGGATATAGAGAATCATAGCTGAAGGATGGCAGGAAATGTCAAAGGGGCAGGTGGTGGTAAGGACCTAGGACCCACAATCACTGTGATCATCCTCCTTTCATTTCTTGTTGTGAACTTTCACCTAAAGGAAAATTAATTAGGTTCAAGATCAGATTCTCCTCACAGTGCAACTTGGTTCATATCAAACTCCATAGATGGTAGAGAAATATTCCCAATGCCAAAGTCATTAAAGGAAAATACCACACCCCACCCCAGATCCCCAGATTTTCTTCCAGTGGATGGAGCCACTCACTTTTGAGAAAGTTAATTAGGTGATCCAATCAAATAGTAGTCTTATTAGCTCCTTTCCTAAAATGGGCTGATGTTTAATTACAGACGAGTAAAATGTTAAGCAGCCTCACTCAGAATGATTTACCAAAGGGAGGTGATACTGGGTTCTGCTTTTGTTTGGTAGATTCTAAAATTTATGATTAAGTTGGACTTATTTTCCTGTTGAGACGATGACCCTGAGGTGGTAACATTATATAAGAAAACAACAGTTTTGTTCTGGGAACGCTTGTTCTAATATCTTTTCAACAGTTGCAGATATTCCCTAAATTTAAAATTATGTGGTTTTATTTAACAGAAAGTTTACAGAGAAGATTTCGAGAAGGAGATTAAAGGAAGGTCATCACTGGATTTAGACAAGACTCCAGAATTTTTACATGTAAAGTACATCACCAACCTTCTGAGGGAGGTATGATCTTGCTATTTACTGTTAAATATCATGAAAGAAAAGCAAAGAAATAACCCAGGAAATATTTGTTTAACATCTCTCTACTAATCCGGTGGTGGAGATTTTAATCCCTTACTCTTTTCCTCACTTTCACTTTTACTAATAAAGTTTTGCATTTTTATTAAAAACAGGAAAGTGTGTGTTAACATTTCTGCTTAAGGTTGAGGGAAGAAATTACCTAGATTTCCTGGGAAAACTTGAAAAATATTTTGATTTTGTGTTTTGGTTATAGCTCAGAGGCTTTATAAATAGTTTTTTAGCTTTATAGCAGTTAGTTTAAAAAATATTTTGTATATGGGTTGGGCATGCCTGATTTTTTTCAAATTTAGTTATTATGAAAGCATGTATTAGAAGGAACTTTTTCTGTAGCTCCTCTGCAAGATTTTCTTTACATTTGATATCAGAAATAGATGCTTACATGTGAAGGTCTGGGTAAATGGTACATTATTTATAAGAAGGTTGAGTTCTAAGTAGGGAAAAAATAATATATTTAGTATAGAGAACAGAGGAACTCACATCTACTTTTCATGTTATTCTGCACAGGATTTCTCCCCTGCATTTTAGCTCACAATTAATATATTAAATTTGTTGAACAATTAAAAATATTATGCTCAGAGTCCATCCCCTTAAAGTTTGTCTTTTCTTTTTAAAAATGATTCACTTTATTTTAAGGGAAAGTGTTCCCTTTATTAAATATTTCGATCAGTAAGTATTACTAGAATATATATAGTATAATATAGAATATGTATCATATAAATGAACTTTATATTCCATGAATATATATTAAAGTGTGATTCCATTTTATCCTGAATTTTTGAACTGAGGATCCTATTCCTGAAAGAAATGTCCTAAACCAGTGAAATAAAGTAGAGCTATATGGTTTTAGAAATTTAATGTTATTCACTTCTGTAATGTATGTTGTATTGAAATAGGCATATCATTTCTTTAAGAGTTCTCTTGCTATGCTATCTTTTCCCACTTCTGGTTCCTATAAAAATTTTTGAAGTTGAAAGGCTACTCAAATGACAACTTTATGCTATTATTGTCTTCTATTTAAAAAAAATGCACTATTTATATAAAATTTTTAAAGGGGAACCTTTTCATCAGTTATATACAAACGAGAATGTGAGATCTATTTTGAGATCCATGAATGACTTAAAACATGCCATTGCCTTTTTCTTTTATTTCTCTTTTGGAGTGAGTCTTAGACTTATTGATTCAGAGCGTCTGCATCAGGGTAGGAAAAGGCCCAGAAGACTATTGTGTTGGTCTGCTGAGGGCTGCAATAACAAAATACTATAGACTGGATAGCTTAAACAACAGACCGTTCTCAAAGTTCTGGAGACTGGGAAGTCCAAGATCAAGATGCCAGCAGATTCAGTTCCTGATGAGGGCCCTGTTCCTGGCTTGCAGACGGCTGCCTTTTCTCTGTGTCCTCACAGTGGAGGGAGAGAGAGAGAGAACTATGGTCTCTGTTCCTCTTTCTAAAGAGACATTAATCTCATCATGGGGCCTCTCAGAACCTTATATAAACCTAATTACCTCCCAAAGACCCCACCTTTAAATACCATTACACTGGAGTATAAGGCCTCAACATGTGAGTTTTTGGGGGACACAAACATTTAGCCCATAGCAACCATGTTGCTAAGTGAAATAAGCCAGGCACAGAAAGACAAACACTGAATGTGGAATCTAAAACAATCAAACTTGCAGAAGCAGCGAGTAGAATGGTTTGGGAGAGCAGAGGTTTGGGGGTGAGGGGTATAGGGAGATGTTAGTCAAAGGGTACAAAATCTCAGTTAGACAGAGGAATAAGTTTATTTTGAGAACTATGTGCACAGTGTGGTGAATAGAGTTAATAATATTGTGCATTTCCAAATTGCTAAGAGGGTAAATTTCAAAAGTTCTCACCACAAAATATGATAAGTATTTGAGGTGTTGGATATACTAATTGGCTTGATTTAGTTATTCCACATTGTGTTCATAAATCATAGCAACACTTTGTACTGCACAAATATATACAACTATAAATTGTCACTTTATAATAAAATAAAAAATTTAAAAATTTAAAAAAGTTTAACTTGAAGAAATAAGTTATACAGATGTCTAATTTGAAGAAAGGACCCTTGGTGACTTAATGAAATTATAATTTTCCTTTCTGAGTGTAAACATTTAGCTTCAAATGGACTTTGCATTCCTTATTTTATGTTTTTTTCATTTATATTGCCAATTTTGAGTGTTCAAAGTATCATTTTGTACTTTATTTTATTTAATTCTCCCCATTGCCCTTTGGCATTGGTAGAGCAAGTGTTTTTATTTTCATTTGCCAAGGTGGAAATCAAAGCTAAGTTACTTAAAGTTCTCCAGAAGTTCACTCAAATGGATAAGTGAAAGAGCTGTGACTTTTTCCAGGGTCATTTGACTCAGAGGTCTTTCCAAAATTACACACAGGCCATTACAATATCTTGAAAGCTATTAATTGAGCAGAGGATATGCTAATTTAATTATACTGGACGAAGGGAAATAGCATGAAATTAACCTTAGAATTAACTAGAACCTGATTTCTTATCATTTCTTCATCTTTTGTCTGGCAAGTTAGTCATAAATGCAACTTAGTTGAATGAGGATGAGATATTTATTGTTTTCATAATTCAATTAAATAAGAAAACAAACAACCATTAGCATAGAAAAACAAATTATATATAAGTATTCATGTGTGGCATTTGGATCTACTAAAATATGACATTAAAATAGATGAAATTCAAACTATATATTATCAATTTGTAGGAAATTATTTGGTTTTACAAATCTGAATAAAATGGAAACTTTTTTTTTTAACTTTGCTACATCAATTCTTTTGATTTTGAAATTTTCTATTCTTTTTCCACTATGCTCTTTTGGTAATTCATATTTTACAGAAAGCATTCAAAAAATACTCCAAATAATAATAAGCATGTATTCTTAAGATCTTTCTCACCGTTTAAAGGGACTACATTATATATATATATATATATATATATATATATATAATTGTATGTATTTGTGGGGTACAGTGTGTTGTTTTAATACATACATATATTGCACAATGATTCACTTTGGGTAGATAGCACATTCATCACCTAAGCATTTATCTTTGTGTTGATTACATTTGAGATCCTCTTTTCTAGCTATTTAGAAATATACAATATAGTATTATTAGCTATAGTCAGCCTAGAACACCAGAACTTATTGGGAAGAGATCTTTTTTAAAAATGCACTATGGTACCAAGACATAATGAGAGTAAGTGTGAAAGGGAAAAGACTGTTAATATTGGAAGCCACTCTGAAGTTGATAGAGAAGACAATGAAGTGTCTGTAAGAAATAAGCATGAATAGTAATATATTCTCCTTTCTGTGGTCTCTAGAAAACATGTAAAACACACATCAATTAAAGTGATTTCTGGTAAGTTTTGAATTGTAACATTCTTGTCTTATAGAAAGAATATAAAAAGGATTTGGAAAATGAAATAAAGGGGAAAGGAATGGAACTGAATTCAGAAGTTCTTGATATTCAAAGAGCAAAACGAGCTTCTGAAATGGCTAGTGAAGTGAGTATATTTATTTCACAATTTAGAATGCATGAATGTTCGGCTGATTTCCTTATCTGTAAATCTTTCCCAAGTATTATATACATCTCACCATTTTTATGGGTAGATGATTATAAGCAGCTACATCCTAGTAGTCTTTCCGGACAGTGGATTTAAAAATAATTGATGCTTACATTTCCCCATTTTGGAGAAAATCTATACAATAAACCAAAATAGTCTTATGAGATGTTACTTCATCTTTTAAGCAAGTAAAAGTAGAAGATTAGGAAGGTGTGTTATCATGATCAATCAGGAACTGGAATTAAAAGTTCACCTGCTTTCTTGCTCATAACCCAACTGACTCTCCCAGTTCTGACCTTGGCTGCCAAAGAGCCTGCTTAAACTTCTCTACCAACGAAAATTGCTGCTGCTCACTTTGCGTGAATTTTAGAAGAAGGCATAAAATATCTCTGAAGAGCCATCAGTCCTTTAATCCTTGTATTATGTCATTACTTTGGTATCATCTCATGGCACTGTGCTTTGAGGAGAATCTAGCTCAAGTTAGCAGTGAAAAAGCTTAAAGCTTTGTCCCCATGTTTTATTAAACTGTGGCGATGATGATGATGATAATAACCCTATTAGGTTGTAAATGGTAGAAACCCAACTTAAACTGGGTTAAGCAACAAAGGAAATGTTTTAGCTCATGGAACAGAAAAGATCGAGTTTCCTTCAAGATGGAATTCCAGTGATGTCCCTCTTCTTTTGTCACTTGGTTCTGGTATGTTCTCTGTTGGTTTCACTCTTGGGAGTCTGTCTCCATGTGGATAACTTAACAATAAGATAACTCGTATCTCTGGCCAGTAATACCAGGGAGAAGTGAGCATCTTTTTTTTTTTTATAATTCCAACTCAGGTCTTAGGCTGACTTTCCCAGGATCAGCCTTTGTCCTAACACTTGACCTGATCATTGTATCTGGGGTGGGGGGAGTGTGATGTGCTGGCTGGCCTCTCATGGTCATGCATTTGTTTTGTTAACTTCCTATGTAGTGTGACAAATGTCTGAAGTGTACAATATTCATAATTTTTAGGTTTTTAAAAAAATTTACATTAATCTTGGCTATATACATGTTCTTTAAATAAGTTAAAGGAAACATTTAAAAAGCATTTTAGTAGAATTAAAAATATATGTGGGAGTAGGGAGGTGATAGAAATTAATCCCCCCAATGTGTATGGATTGAGAGAAATCAGAGGTATTTTCCAAAAAGGAGATTGTGGAGATTTTGGCCAGAAGAAGGAGAAAGGGATGCTGATCAGGCACAAACAGCAAATGTCCACTGTGAGGTCTTTGGCTAACATTGTCATCATAGGACCCCTGCACTAGCAGTTTTCTACAAATTCTTTTGTAGTGATGACATGTCCAATCCATGTTCAGAGGTCAATCTTGTAATCAATTCTCGATAATACTAGGAAAAATTGTTTTAAACTCTCAGTGGCAGAGTCCAGCCAGATGCAGTTAAATGGCAGGGGGCAGGATCTGCAGAAAGTCAGGCCATATTAAGAGAAGGAAGGACTGGTGTAGGGGACAGGGATGAAAGACAAGGGAGGCTCAGTTACTGAGCACTCCCTCTGTGTTGGGCTCTCTGCCGTGTGCTGTCTCACTGATGCTCACAGTGGATCCTGCATGGAGGTGTTATTATCCCCATTTTGCAGATGAGTAAACCAGACATGTTAAGACACATTGCCATTGTCACATAGCTGCTGAGTGCTCTGGTCTCAAAGTCAGTCTTCTTTCTACAACATCAATTCATTTACACCCACCTTCCTATTCACCCAAGATAGTTGGCAGTGAAGATTCTCACCTGAGAATTGCTTTTTATGCTAAAAATCTTTAGGGCTTTATACAGTCTTCTTCATTGAGAATAGTGACTGTAGGTCTAAGAAGTTCAGAACATTTAGTTCTAGGTGATCATTCATGGTACAAAGTAAGCTGTGCTTTCTCTCTCTTTTTTAGTATTTTTAGCTACTTTTTGGAATCAGTGACTACTGATACATGTTTGCCCACTGAGTGTCTGAATGTTGTAAAATGTTGCCTTTTACAGAAAGAATACAAGAAAGACCTGGAGTCAAAAATTAAAGGGAAGGGAATGCAAGTTGGCATGGACACCCCTGAAATACAGTGTGCCAAAAAGGCTGCAGAGCTAGCTCGTGAGGTTGGTAGAATGAATGATGCGGACCTTGGAACTCATACTGTGGAACTTAACAAATCATATAAGCAACTTGATTAGTACATGGAGTTTCTCAAAGTTTTGTGGCTCGTTTAACAGTTTGGAATGGAAACCATTCCAAATCATTATGCTGTCTGAAAATTTACAGTTTTTACTTTGCTTGTATCCTTTAAATACATAAGAGGAAACTTGGGGAAGGGCATTTTAATAGATCACATACGTACACACGTACACATTCCTGCCCACCTTATTCTGTAATACAACAAATTTCATGTTAATCTAGGCTATGACAAATGTTTTCATAGCTTTTTTTTTAAAGAATGGATTGGATTATGTGCTTTTTGGCAGATCTGTGTTTTCAACTTTCTGAGCAGAACTTGAAAATCATGTTTCAAGTTTCTAACATAAGAACAATAGGCATTTCTGTGTGACTGCGTGTTGTTAAAATATGCTTTGTTGACTTCATCAGTGCCTGAAATTTCTACACAGTCAGCATTTTGGGTTGAGGTATTATATATCCTGAACGACCACGTTCATTCATCTAACGCAATTTTCCTCTTCGTGTAACACGTGTAACGGCAGGATATTAACTTAGTGGTTTTGTCTTAGATGCTACAGTATGATAGATATCACATAACAAAGTTGTAGGAGATAGACCACATGTGTATTTTTTTTAAAGGAAATACCCAGAACTGGCTCCACACCTCTTGAACTTCCCCAGCAATTCCAAAAATATAAAAGGATCACTGGAGTGAAGAGTATTTGGGATGAGATTATTTTGTAAGAAGGAAATGTGAGGAGAAAGTTTGGGTGCAGGTTAAGGGGTGCTGCTCATTGATCTCAAGGCTGGTTAGGTGGGGGCTTCAACGGGGCTTCACTCTGAGAGCTATTATGTGACCTTTGCAGTTAGGAAGAGCTGACTCAGGATTGACTCTCACTCAGGAAATCTGGAAGGCTAGAGGTAGTTGATTAACTGCCATGGGAGTTACTGCTGTGTTGGGAACTACCCACATGCCCAGGGTTAGGCATTGGCCAGGGAAATGGGGTTGCCATCATTGGTTTAGACAAAGGGACTGGGAATGGCATAGAATTCCTGACCAATAAGGGTTCCATTTAGAAATGGCAGCCAGGGGTGGGCAGCGGAAGAGTGGAGAACGGTGACTTGAAAACCCCTTTAACCTCTCCCCTAGTTCCATTTTCCTCCCGACAGATAGCCATTGTTATATTTGTTGTAGAGCCTGCCAGATCTATTTTTATGTATAAATAGGTAAACATACACTTGTACACACATAAACTTAAGAAAGGAACTTAAATGCCTTCATACCATAAACTTTGTTCTGTGTTTGTTTTTTCACTTAATACTATGGATTCTTTTCCACATTACTTTATATATATAGTTCTACCTCATTCTTATAGAAAAAGTGTGTCCTGTACATGGTTATGAAGATGTAACTGTTTGCCCTCTGTTGTCCACATGGAAAATGTATAACAGTATCTCAACATTGCACACCAAAACCAGAACTGTACATTTTCCCTCAGGATAGCTCCCTGCCGTCCCCCGCCCCCTGCAGCAAAGTCATAGAAGTCACTTTGATTCCTCTTGTCAGCAAGTTTTATAGACTCCATCTGCATAATGGTTCTAAATGTTCTAAAGCCATCTACTTCTCCCCACCCTACCATCTCTGACACCTGGGTCATTATTGGAGCTTCCTAACTAGGATTCTGCTCTCATTATGCCCTCAATATACATTTCCAACCCAGCAGGCAGAATAAATCCTTGAAGAATTAAACGGAAGTATGCTACTCTCCTCACTTGAAACTCTCTATTGGTTTCCAGTCATGTCCAGCATCAATCCATATTCCTTGCTCTGGCATTCAAAGCCCCACTTCACAAATGGGCCCCAGTGTGCCTGTCCTTTTCCTGCACCCTTCTCCTGCACAGTATGATCTGGTCCCAGAGGCCCCAATTGCACCTGCACAGGTCTTAGGATCTCTTTCAGCTGCGTTGTGTTCCTGAACTCCTTTCCCTGGTCTTTGCATGGTTGGCTCTTTCTTGTTATTCATTTCTTAGATTAAATAGATCTTTCTCACAGTACGGTGGTCTCCCTGGGTTTGCAAGTGATTAGCTATACCCAATATTTATCAAATTACTACTTATAGGTCTCTGAAATTTTTCTTATTCTGTGGAGGGGGTTGTGTTCAGTGTTAGTTCAAGGTACTGGGGAGTTAAAGTTGAAGCCAATGGAAAGCATACTTTCCCTGGAGAAAGGAATGTGGAAAGAACAGTTATTTTGTATTTCACTCTTTTATCTAAGAGCAGGCTTCTAAGATGTATGCTGTGAAGCCGGCATGTTTTAGTATTCAGGTCTTTCATTAGTATGTTAATAGATTTGTTTATTCAACAATATGCTGATTTGGATTTCTCTGTGTTCTTTAGGACTATATACTAGGAAAAATGGTGCAAGTCTAATGATTGAGATACTAGGGGGAAAATAGGCCTAGGGGATCAGCTCTACTATGGTTCCATGTAGCCCAAACCAATTTTGGTGATGCTATTATCTTTGTAATCCAAATGTCTCATTTGCATATAATCAGGGACATATTCCATTTTGTCAAATTGACAGGCTCTCAAATCCTTTCAACCAAAGTTTGGGACTTTGCCATAGTTTATTTTTAATATCCAAGTTCATTTCTCAAGTAAAGTCTATGTGGTATATCATACTAATGACCCCCAGTAGTCAAACCTTCTTGTGTCTATGGGCTTGACCATGTGGCTTTCTTTAGCCAATGGGACATTAGCAATTGTGACTGACGCAGAGGTGTAAGTGCACCTGTGCATTGGGTGTTTGCCCTCTTGCAGTGTGGATGTCATGATGTTGTTGTGCTCAACCTTCTGAGTTTGGAGGTATTTTCTTATGTAGTAATAACAAATAACTGGTACAACTAGTGTCCTATGTAGTCTATTTACATGCTTTAGAACATTTTTAGATTTGAAAATTCATATTGGAAAATTAAGTAACATACTTCTACTATGGGACCTTGGTGACTGTAATCAGGGCCTCAGTTTCTATAATTGTCCTTCAAATGAAATGTTTTGGGGCTTTAAACAAGTTTACTAAAAACAGACAGCTTTTTACAGACACAGATAGCTTTTTACAGACAATGATAATTTAATTTTATTATTTTGAAAGTTAAAAGTTGTTACTTGAACTTTTGTTTAGTAAAGTAAAACTAAGAATCTGTCAGTAAAAACAGACTGGGCTGTGAGTAGAAAATAGGGAGAAAATATACGATTTCTCTGAGACTGAGATTTTTGTTTACAATTTATCTAAATTTGGAATACCACAAATAAGTGAAGCAGCATTTACTTGGTAGTAGAGAATCTACAAATCTGGAGTATGTCAACATCATAGGAAATAATTGTTTTGGAGGAAATTTAATTGAACATAGTTAATAATTTTATGAAAATAAAATTTTTCTTTGAAGAATAACATGCATGTAGAAAATGCACAATTATAAATGTACAACTTGCTGAATTTTACAGTCAGTTTAAAAATGTGACAAGAATCCCTTAAGACATGTATGTCTGGGTAATTATGACTGTTTTGTAGCAGATAATCCAACTCAATCTGGCTTTAAAAAATAGTAGATAATATATTGTTCTCTTGACCAAACAGTGGAGGTGTTCTTAGGCATGGCTTATCTAGGACTCAGGTAATGTGATTTTGTTTCAGTTTCTATCTTTCAGTTCTCAGGCAGGCTTTCTTCTGTTTCAAAGAGGCTTACAGCTGTTCCCTGGGCTAGATTCTTCTTCATGACCAGAAGAAAAGAGAAAGTCTCTTCTGATATCTTATGCGGAAAAAGAAATGCACCCATCCCTAAACTAATCATCTGGGGCCAGGGATGGGTATAAAGATTTATTTAAGCCAGTCTCACCCAAGCTGCATGGTAGAGAATAGGGGAGCAGTGTGTTGGTCAGTAGCAAGTTACGGAGTCAATGAAGGAAAAAGAAGGGGCAGATTCTAGGAAAGCAACCAACAATATTCACTATAAAGTGAAAAGCAACAATTCTACAATCACATTTGATCAATATTCATCAACTGAGTTATCTATTAACCAATAATTTATCCAATTTACCGTATTGAAATATAAAATTATCCCCTTGGCTATCTCTGTTTTCTTTCTTAATTAAAGTTAATAGAAAAAAGCCTCCTGATTACTTGTGAATAAGGCATTCCAAGTCATGTTCCTATAACAAGTTAAAACATTCTCTTGTTCAACAGAAATAAAAGAAATAAGGGTCCAAATTAATTCTAGAAGACATGGTTCTGATGTCAAAATGTCATCACAGTTTTTCAAATGATTGTAGATCCCTACCTGCATGTTTCATTTTCTGCAGAAAGACTATAAAAGAGATCTGGAGACTGAAATTAAAGGAAAAGGAATGCAGGTGAGCCCAGACACTGTTGATGTCCAGAGAGCCAAGAAAGCATCTGAGATGGCCAGCCAGGTAAGAAAGTAACAGGATGTGAAGTTTAAAACAAACCCATTGAATTTCATTTAGAAAGAGTATGAATGTTATTTCCTCATGGATAGCTTTAATATTCAAACACATAAGTCTTTACATTGCTGTTGAAGGTTAAGCAAAGCTCTAAGATTCTATTCTATTCTTTTAGAAACAGTATAAGAAAGACTTAGAAAATGAAATTAAAGGGTAAGGAATGCAAGTGAGCGTGGATATCCCAGATATGCTTTGAGTTATTTATTTATTTTTTAAAAATATTTTTAAAATTTTTTAATTTATCAGTATACAATGTAGTTGATTTTATCTTTCTGAGGGTATTGCATTCAAGGTCAGTAACTCTATAATTAAGAATCCATTGATCAAACTTGATTAATTTCCCTAATTAAAGAGACAGTGTTGTAGATTCAATCTGACTGACATTATGGAGTGCCACAGCCCCCCTGCTGGGGCCCCTTGTTCTGAGTCCAAGATATTTTGACCTTTTTTTCCCTTTGTTTTGGCTGCATTGCACACTTGGCTTGAGTGCTCTTTGCTTGGACTACAGAAAAATAGTTACAATTTGTCTTTTAACCATTTCAAAGTGAATATTATTATTAAAGTAATCAGCTCCAAATGAAACTAGCAGTGGCTAAACCTGCGAAAGGTATAAAGTGAAATTTAATATTAACTAAAAATTAAGGGAAGGGTTAATTTTTCTTGATAAAATTTAGATTTGCCAAATATACGTTCAAACATTTTCTAAAAAATCCATAGATATGGGAGAAATAATGACTACAAAAGAAAATATTCATGGAAGAGGTTATTTATAAAATCTGACTTGGGCAAAAACATTCATTACTGAATAATATTTTTGTTATAAAATTTATATGAAAAAGAGTGAATCCCAATGGAAAGAAATAGTAAAGGGAGTGAAAAAAATTAAAATGGTTATAGAAAATTGACCAATGAATTAAATCTGCTTAATGGAGTTTATGCTAAAAGTAATTCTTTTTTTTTTTTTCCTTTTTTTTGTCTTTTTTCGTGACCGGCAACGGATCGCAACCCT